TCACGACCTTCCAGTTCACTGACCTGACTACTTCGATATACTCTGCGGGCCATTTTCATGAAAAAGTTATCTTCAACGATAAAAACCACCTACGTATGCTTAACGTACACCGTAGTTCTACAACAATTCTTAACGAACTAACATAAAATAAACGTAAACATTATATTTACAGCGAAATCCATGTCTAAATCTTTCCTAACACATGCTGAAAGCGTTTCACAGGAACAGCTTGAACCAACCTAACTGCGTATCATATAACGTATCTAATTTCAGTGTTTTTAAAGCAATATCGAATAAATTACACACGACGATAAGAAAAAATAAAAAGAATGCTTATTCTCCTTTCGAAGAATTAGAAACGAAGCAAATTTAAACTAAGCTATGTATCATGTAACGTGTCTAAATTTAGTATTAAATATCGAAGTGAATTATTCATGAATTATTTATTATAAATATCGAATGAAGTACATGCATTGACATAAGAATAATAAAAGTAACGTTTACGCGTAAATTTTCACTTCGAAAAATTACGGATGAAGCAAGCAAATCGAACATATCGGTGGATTTATCGGCACCAACGAGATTTTCAGTCAGTAACGCATTGCTTCCGTACAATGCAGTAATACCTTTAAGTAATAATATACGTAACATTGCGTAAATAAAGGGCTTTATTAATTTCAGCGAATTATAGGAGCGCATGTGTGCGTGAATCTGATTCGAACGAGTCACAAGAGCAAAAGGATCAAAACTTTCGTTTGGACGATGACTGGGGAACCAACCAGGGGCTTTTCATTGTTTACACGCAATAATTAACTAAAATGAATTCAATTAATACCCGCGATCCCGTCCCGTCGTAAATCAACACATGTGTACCGTCATTAATTTTTCCATCGACGATACGTTCATGTCGTCCTCAGCCCCGTTTGCAATTAAGGACCATGAACAAATATGACGAGTCCATTTTTATTGATTTCTTATTTTTACGTTATTTAATAATCAAAAAGAGGCACGTTTTTTTATATGAAATATCGTATTTACGAATACAGAACGATTAACGAACAAGATTACCAGTGTTGTATGATCTAGTTTAATCGAGAGAAAACGCGTGGAGAGAATTTGAAAGATGAGAAGGAGTTCGAATTTTTAAATCGAAGATCGCAGGAGGAAGGCATGATAGGCATATTTTTGTTCATTTTCTAATTATGATGTTATCTTATCATCGAACAAGATGATTTCAATAGAACATAATCGAAAACCAATACCTGTTATGTCTAACGATGTCTGTCTTAATTAAGTCTTTATTGCATGTCTATTAAGACATTCTTATTAATTCAGAGATTAATGAGAAAGATATAGAGAGATGTCTTATTAAAAGTAGGCAATGAGTGTAAGTTTTAAAGACCACGTATATATTTATACGTAACAGTATAATTATTGACAAACAATATTTTATAGCGAGTAATATATATTTCCAAAACATTAAAGAGTATGACAAAAATATGCTTAAATTCAAAACGGAATGAAAACTACTCTACTGTAATACTATGTGCGTGGCCGACGATATACCGAATATAAAAAAAAGTAGAAGACCTAAGTTACCATGTTCTTCTGCTGTAGTCCTTAATCACTTTTTTTATAAAAGGCAGAGCTATGACGTCACGTTTTAGCTATTAATTACCCATTCATTAAGAATATATTTGTTCGATGATAAATCTCAATGAAACATACGCGTAATGTTTTCGATATTTTTCAACCGTCGATAGGTTCAACGAAGGGCTTCGTTCACCACGGCACCAATGTTGCTACAGTCGCCCGAACGATAGTCGAGAGTCTTTGCGAAAAGCAAGCAAAAAAAAAAAAAAACAATGTATACAGGCCTGATGGTGTTGGCAAAGTTTCGAATTACTCGTCAACATCGGACAGAATATTTCTGGTCTCACGTTTTTGCGCCTCGTGGTCCGATACCTCGTCCACCGTGCGAGACGAGAGGATAAACAACGGTCCGACCGATTATGGTGCGAGAGAAAAAAAAACATCGTACAGTTGCTCACGGAAGTATTTGAACATCTACCATAGGAAATTTTTATATATCGTATATTATGTGGAATATAGATATATAATGAGTAGATTATCGGTTTTAGTGCAAATTTATATTTTTGTGAATATAATTAAAAAAAGTAGAACCTCGATGGAAAATTGGTTTAGCTACCAAGTATTATAGAAAGCACTTTGAACGTTATATATATCTTTCCACATTACATATGTGAATTTTGTGCAATCTCGCGCTATCAAATTTTATAATTTTTATTTTTATTATAAATTCAAAATTCATTTATTATAAATTTTTATAATAAATATATTGCCTAATAACGAGACACGGTTGTCATGATTATATTGGTAAAATTTGAATGCAGTCTGAAAATACATACAGTAAGGGACAAAAGTATTCGCACAGTTGGGATGTAGAAATAAAAGAATCAATATTGCCTATATTATTAAATACATGTTGTCACGCATTATTTGAAAACATTAATAATAACGTCAATATTTCTGTACATTTATTACACAATTATATCGTTTATATAAACGTCTGTTACAACATACAATTACAGTGTATATTTATTATTTGTATAAATATTTGAATGTGTTTAATAATATAGAAAATATTATTCCTTTTTATTTCTACATTTAAACTGTACGAATATTTTTTGTCTTTCGCTGTATACAGAAGCTCTGCAAACATATATTTAATCAAAATTAATGCACAACAAAAATAGTCATCTTAAACGCATAATGAGTGTTAAAAACAATCCCACTTAGTACCGAAATTTATTGATATAATGGATAATTGATTGTTTAAACACTTTCGATATCTCTGCAAAATATATACTTGTATTAATTTTCATATAATTTCTATATATATATTCAAATTCGTTTAATGTTTGATGTTTTATTTTCAAATTTGTTTAAACGCTAAATGTAATCATGATAATCGTCTTTCATTATAGTGCTGATAAATTTCAAAATGTTTCATATAACGCACATACCTAAAGTATTTATAAAAAAATTCCTACAAGTGTTCGTATACTTTCATAGCCACTATAATGATCGGCCATATACGAGTGTGTAGAAGAATTCCTGTCCTGTCCTGTCGTAACGTAGGCTATCGAAGAGAACGAGACACCTCGCCACCCGTGATACAGTAAATGTTTCGAAATAATAGATTCGCGGCACGCACCGCGTAGGGGCGTGTAATATCCCGTGATTTACCCTATTATGTAATTACGCCAGGTAAAAATGTCTTATAAGGCACCGCGCCTTCCGAGAAACAATTTAAAACGAACTATTAACGTTAACACTCGTACCACCCGTCCTGGGTCTTTTCGAATCCCAAAATCAATTTTTTATCGATTTATTTTCTGTTTTAATTCGTTAGAAAGCTAAAGATGGTATTCGACGAAATTATTATATGGATGTGTTGTATTCATATAATAATAAACTATGTATATATATAGTAATAAATTAATTAAAATAATATTTTAAAAAGAGACGTGTATTTTTCTCCTTCTTTTTTTTCTTATATTTCAATGACCAATTAACTAATACAAAATACGAATTTTCTATGAAAGAAGTAAAAACGAATGAAAAATAACCGAAATCGATAATATTATTTCAAAATGTCACTAACTAAACGATAAACGTATCTATTTTCGATGAAGCTATTCCCAATTTTAGTACGCTACTGTGTCTCTTGTTCATAAAGATCAGAAAATACGTGTCTCTAATGTTAATACCTAAAAAACAAAAATTATTTTCTAAAATCTAAAAAACATTTAGTTCTGCAAGAGTTAACATATTGGAAACAGATACTAAGCAAGTCACTAGTATGCAATGGACCTATAAATAAGCAATTTGCTTCGACTACAAATAAGAAAGTATCACTTGCAGGTACCTACGAAAATTCGAGTATTATCCTCGAATTTTTATACTTTAATCTTGCTCGTTTTACGAAACAGACCAAATTTCTAATAATTTCATAGAATGTTCTATATGAAACGTTCTATATGAAAAATATCCTAAATTGAAACGAGAAAGCACGCATATAGTGGTAACCAGACTGCGGAAGTTTATGCAAATTCATACTTTTATCAACACGATGTAAAAAAATGAGATCTAAATAAAGATTTGTTTTACCTACTAAATATTATAATATGTGCATTACTCTGGATATTTTATATATTTTTCATATTAAATGCATCCTGCAGATTTTCCTATTTTCAAATATTCCCTAATTGCATAAACATGCTAGCCCGTTATAACAATTTATCCATATTTTGCACAAATTTGAGATACTCTTTAACATTATAAGAGTACAATTGGATCGACAATAACAAGTTTAAATTGTCCTAGTATCGGAGCAAAACCGAGTTTTGTCCACACGAGCACGCCACGACGAAACGAGTAAACAAATTCGTGCAATTGGTAATGGAGCGTAAACAACCGCTGCCTGAGTCGCGTCGTGCGGCGTCTGTTTAGGATTTGAACGTACACAAACTGGAGGATACATGTCATGTAAGAACGCGACACATCGATTATATGACGCATTCAAGTACATATTCAGGATAGAAATTCCATAAGTGGAAGTATTTCTAAGAAACAGACTCGTTCTATGAAAACACAAGACAAACACAAAAGTGAAGGACAGAGGCGCAGCACGTTTCTTTTTAAAACTAGTTGTAACGTACGTTCAACGAATTTGTTAGATTTATTTTATTTTATTTCATTATATTAGCGGTGTAATCAGAATACAATGTTATGAAATAATTTGCTGGCTTAGATACTGTCTACAGTACCACTTATAACGTGCTAAGTACTCAGATAAAATATCCTTTTAAAATAAATGTTGTCGAGTGATGACAAGATACGAAGGAAAAGGGGATCGAACGATCGTCGAAGGAGTGACAGAAGGGAGAAACAAGGCTACGAAAGCAAGTACTCACCTCGGTAGCGGCGTTGCATCCCGCGAGAATGACGGCCGTACTGATCAGGATCCAGTATATCCTCGGTTGCATCTTTTCCTTTGTAATTGCCGCTGGGCCCGTTCAAGAGCCCCCTGACCGATCACCGCGTCGGTTCTACGAAACCAAACGAAAAAAATTACGCGTACGTCCCAGCCAGGAAGAAACCACCAAAAATCCACCGGAGCAACAACGCGACACACACCACACTGATCGATGAACCGCGAGACACTGAGGGCGCGTCGATCGGTCACTTCCACCGCCGAGCTGCCGCCATTTTGAAATGAACGCAAGCGCGACCTAGTGGTTGATATCGGAAGTCTCTCTTCGGCGATTTTACGACGATGCGCGAAGTATTTGAATTTTAAACCAGTCTAAATTCGTTTGTAGTAACGAAGTAGGAGTTTTAATAGAGGAAAAATAAAATGTGCGATGCTAGGTAAGTTGATTAGTGTCTAAATGTTATGTTATCTAATAAATTTGTATTTTTATATAGGATATGATATTTAGTTAATGATGTGTGTAATCTTTTTCTAGATATGGAAGGCTGGAAAGCATAATAGTGTCAGCCATTGATAGTTATCAGAAAATATGTTCTGTGTTTATCGTTATAAGGAATGTATTGCTTTTTCACATTATGGAAATGCATCGCGATAGAGAAAAAAATTATTGTTTAATTACGAAATTAACGAGATGACACTTTTAAGAATTTAAAGTTAAAGTTTAAGAAGTTAAAAATGCAAATTGCAAAAATGTTGACTTACGCTGTTATAATTTTCAACCCGCCATATTGTTCTTTGCAAGTGAGGTGAGTTAGCTTCTTGTTCTTTTATTGAAAAGTTTCGATATGTGTATCTTTATATTCTTTCAATTACTTAATGATTACTCGAATACTACTCGTATTACTTATGATATGTTCGTTCACTGCGTTTAATATACATAACATTTTTATAATATAACACTAAAAACTAAACAAACTTATTACTCAACTTAACACATAGATAGTTAAAAATTAGAAATAAGATAGAATTAACAAAGATGGTAAAAATTTGATCTCTAACCTTTTTTCGTCCCTCGTGTTTAGCTAAACTGGCATAAGGAGTAAAGAATATTGATGGAGACGAAAAAATAATGAGCGGGAAAATTGTACAAGAACGCCATAATGGTGAGTTCCATCTTTAAACGAGTTCATATTCGTTTCACATAGTGGTAATAATTCATAAAATAAAGATTCAAGAAAGAACTACCGTATTTGTCAACCAACCATTTTTTAATCATAAGATATAAAGATTTAAGCCTGCATTAAACTTTCTTGCTTCTTGAATATGTATTTTCAACATTAATAAGTATCATTAGTAACTAATTACAATGTGTTTCACATTTTCGGAGAGAACTATCACAATAAAGCTATTTCTTATCGCTAGCCGATAAATCTTTCTCGAGACCTTTTAAAAATCGAAGATTTTCATTGATGGTACGATTATATTCTTCAATTTTATTACGCATTGATGTCACCTCGTCTTGCATGCATTTCACTTCCTCTTGCATTTTTTGTTTTAACATTTCTAACAATTCTTTATCCTGGGAAGTAAGCAAACAAACATTTCTTGATCGTGATTACTTTATATACTGAAAATTATTACCTGTCTGTAATAATATTCAGCTTCGTATGCAATATCGTTGTTCGAAGTTTTGTTTTTATTAGAATCACTGTATCTCCTTGTGAAATATCTGGAACTATTGAAACTGTCGTATGATTCCGATAAAATTAATATAACCAATAAAAATAATCGAGATGGTTTAATACACAAAATTTTTAAATGTCATACTTACCAGCTTTCAGGCGATAATCTTTGTAAAATAAATCGAAACATTGTCTTCAATAATTTATAATATCATCAATTTTCCGAAAAAAATTCTTTCATAAATTGAAACAGAAATTTTGCGACTTTCTGTCACGAACAATGAAACATTTGAATGCAAACGTTATCGAAATATGATCGATATAATCGTATTGATATTAATTTTTCTTGAGATATATAAATAAGAGCTTTTACACAAGTACAAGAAAATAATTATTAGTTTAGAGCTTTTATTCAATATATATATATATATGTATATATTATTCTATATTATATTTGTGTATAATATTTAAAAAAAAGTACTGACATAAATGTCTACTATAATTGCTATTAGTAATAATATAACAGTTACATCATTAGAAAGAGCAGCATCATTCTTAGAAAGTATGCAGATATATTGATGTAAGATGAATTAGTTTATTTATCATCCATATCTGTGATTCTTTTTTTGTGACGGTTTATGGCTTCTTGATGGCGTTTGATTTGTTCCTCATGGAAAGAGATCTCATCGTGAAGGTCCTCTTTCAGCTTTTGAATTTGTTGCTTTTGCTAGAATCAAAATATTGATATTTCTAAGCAAATCATTATAGATTAGGATATATGGAAACACAATGGAATTAAATCTTCTAGCAACTTTATGAACACCATAAGAATTCAATTAGTGCAGAGAAATGGGAGTAACTAACCAGATTATAGAAATATTGATCTTCATGAGCTGCTTCCATTTTTCCAAAAGCTCCACCAGCATCGCGGATGCTTCCACCACCACCACCTCCTTTACCAGCTCCAGATCCACGTTCACCAGTCATTTTTACTTGGCTGTAATAATCGAATGATTGAATCTTAATTAGTCTCCTAATGATTGCCGGTGCTAAAAAAAGCTGTGACATAGCAGCAAGTGTTAAAAATACACATTGTCCATTTATATCAGCAATACAAATAAACAGCTGAATAAAGAACATGGATTCAGACCATTCTACGCTTCAATCACAAATAAATAAAAATAAATACAGAACAATGAAAACAATATTACAAAAATATTATAAACAATATTTTATAAGAACACAACCTATTACAGACTATTACATAAGTTAAGTACATATACCAAAAAGTCAATAATTCTCTACAAACTTATATAGTTTACAAAAAACATATATCTTAATTAACTGAACGAATGATTTATTTCGATTATTGCAGATACATTTAAAAAAAGAGTTAAAATGCAACGTACGTTGCCTTTAACTACGTTGTGTGCAAATACTATAAAGAAGCCGGGGTCTATTTAATCTACGCAGAGAAAGAAATTCTACATAATTAACATTAACCATCCCTATGGAAAACATTCTTTTGTACCTCAATGAAGCCATATTTCGAGAAAACGTAGTAATAACTCGCTGCATTGTTCTCTGTGAAAATTTCAAAGTATAGCAAGTGGTGAAGATTCTAGTAGAAACCATACACTACTGCGAAGTGGAACACCACGTCGTGCAGATTCAGTAGAATTTCCGCGAGATGGCTGTCGTGACTCTTATTTGGCGGCAATATTAATTCAGTTTTTCCATAGAATTAAGTAATTTATCTATTTTATCATAATCGCCAACGTAAAAATACAAATTGCCGATGCAAGCGATAGATGTATTGTCCAGGATCATCTGCAACCTATCGTTTTCTGACGTGTATTCGATGAAACGATCCATATCCTCTTCGCTTCTCCTCGGTTTTTCGATTACCTCCCATATGTCCATGAACAAGATCGATGGACGATTTTTGCTTGATTCTCTAGGACTCAGAGTCCAACTAATTTGGATTGTTATTTGTTATTTTTGTGGAGAAATGTTTATTGTATGGAACACAGATGCTTTGAGGTATCTCAATTTTTACGTGTTTTATATGAGAATGGCAAACAAATCTTTATTTCATTATCTCGTGTATTTTCGTGATAATGCAGATTAACGTATTTTAAAATAACAAAGTTGTATTTCTAAGTATAGATAAAGTTAGGTTATGTGTTACAGTTGCGTATTAGTCTGATGTAAGAGTTAGTGAAAAAGATACTTGTTTTTGTGTTTGTATAAGAGTACACAATATTCTTTAACTAAATCCGAATTTTATTTTTATAATCATCGTCAGTAGATGAAATTATGGTTTTAAACGCTAGAGATCTTTAAATATGATCTTTGTATTAAATACACATATACGTAGAATATAATCTCTGACTCAACAAAGCTAATTTAGACTTAAAACTTATTTTACTTTAAAATGGAGATATGTATCTACATTACATATACGCGTGAATTTAAATACAAATGAAATATATTTTCACTTGAAACCCTCCAATATCAAAAACACGCTCGAAAACGTATAATCGTCTTTCACACGCTCGATCGATCGTCATCGTCTCTAATCAAATCCATAAAACAAGTAAAACTCGACAAACGACTAACCGTCTTAGCAAACTTATGTATCCCTACTCTGTCCTGTTCTTTCATTCTCCTTCATTGTTCTCTCATTCTGGTAATATTCCTGTCCGTAGAGAATCTTCCACGGAAAGCGGAGTGCATCGTTGCCAAGCAAAAGTTTTCACAGCGGTGACTGCGGCGTCGATCTTCTTATTTTCGATCGCATTAACTTATTCCTTAATCAATGAAAACAGAGCGTCTGTTTCTTCCGGGGATCAGTTCTGTGTCGTCTCTCGTCTCTTTAAACACACAGTAGTCGAATTCGAACACATCTTCGTCTGGTTTTGACTTTATAACTGGCGTCGAAGTTTCTAATGGAAATTGATTGCTCGTTTGGTAGGCGACTTAATGAATCTCAAGCGAATTCCACGATAGAGAAACGCACGCCTGTCAACTCACGTCGCGATTAGGTGACGTTTCGCTCGTTCATTTGTTTAAACGCTGGTTTAACACAGTCAGTTGTTTTACCGACGTCTACGCGAATATTATGTAAAGACTGATTGCCACGCGCCAAGTTCTTTTTTATTTTTAGCGATTCTTTCGATCATCAGATTCCATCGGTGGGTTTCCTCGTTTTTTGGAAACCTTTTCAATAACTACGTTTTATCGATTTTATAGAAACTCGAAGGTTTATGATTGTTGATTATTAGCTTCGTATATTTTTCTCTTTTAGCATTTACGAGATATTTTTCGGGTCCTATTAACATCACCGACACAGATTTCAACGACACTGTTTCTCGATAATAATAACAGTTTTGGTAATTTGTAAGTGGACATGTGTTAGATTTAAATATTTTAATATTTTATCTTTTCTTATTATTTAATTGTTTATTTTTCATTTCTTTCTATAGTTTGTATGTATATGTTCATGTCAAGGGGATAACAGTTTCGGTAATTTGTGAAGTGTTCATATTTTATCATAGTG